AAAAAAAAAAAAAGAAATGGAAAATTCTGGTATCTTTCTTACAGTAATATTCTGCACTATAAAGTCAGGAGCTTCATCATTTGTGGGGTTGATTATAACGTGAAACGGTATCTCCAAGGAGCGTCGCTTCCCATCTGTGACATACACCATGAACTGGTCAGCTGTCGGTTCCATCCTCAGATGTCTGGATTGCACATAGTTAATGTGTAAAGCCTTCATGTCTTTCCACTGGAACGAAGCTAGAACATACCAACACGGAGCAGGTAAATTAGAAAAACTTTTTTTTTTTCCCCAAGCTACTGATCCTTAATCCTTAACACAATAGCTTATTTCAAAGAAAAGCAAATAAGAGATCATTGCAGTTGACCCAAGAATCAGCTATCGGGGGCTGCTGTAATATCTGTCAGCCATCAACAAAAAACAGATATCCATAAATCATAAGGAAGGATTAAAATCTGCATGGAGAACAGAAAGATGATAACTGCTAACCAGGATGTGTAGGGACTTCATGACCATTCTTTATATGGTTAGAATGAATGTTAAGAGAGACCTTCCCTTGATAAAAAACCACTGCTCCTATAAACAGTTCTTATTATGCTTGGATAAGAAAAAGACTATCTCGGGGTGCTGGGTGGCTCAGTTGATTAAGCCTCTGACTTTAGCTTGGGTCATAGTCTCATGGTTCAGGAGCTTGAGCCCCGCTTTGGGTGAGCTTGAGCCCCGCATCAGGTAAACTCGAGCCCCGCATCGGGTGAGCTCAAGCCCCACTTCAGGATTCTCTCTCCTTTCCTGTCGCTGTTCCTCGTGGGATTCTCTCTCTCTCTAATGCTCTATGTTGAGCATTAAGTCACAGGCCAAATGCGTACCTTTAGGGCAATAAATCTTTTCCCCCAGCTTTATTGAGATATAATTGACCTACAATGCCATAAGTTTAAGTTTTCCCATGTGATGATTTGGTACACACATACGTTGTAAAATGTTACCACAATAATGTTTGTTAACACATCATTCACTTCATGTGATTACCATTTTGTTGTTACAGTGAGAACATTATGCTTTACTCTCAAATCAACTTTCAAGCGTACGATACAGTATTAACTAGAGTCACCATGCTATACCTTAGATCCCTGGAAATTATTCATTTTATAACTGAAAGTTTGCACCCTTCAACCAACATCTCTCCACTTGTCCCACCCTCCAGCCCCTAGTAACCACTATTCTACTCTGTTTCTATGAGTACAACTGTTTCAGATTCCACATATAAGTGAGATCATATGGTATTTGTCTTTCTCTAATGTATTTCACTTAACATAATGCTCTCAAAGTCCAAAGTCCATATATATATATATATATATATGTATTTTTTTTTTTTTTGCAAATGGCAGGATTTCCTTCTTGTTGTGGTTGAATAATATTCTATCATGTATTTGTATCACATTTGCTTTATCCATTCATCCATCAATGGACATGTAGGTTGTTACCATGTGTTGGGCTATTGTCAATAATGGCACAATGAACATCAGAATATAGACATCTCTTTGATATCCTGTTTTCATTCATTTGAATATATACCGAGAAGCAGAATTGCTGGATCATATGACACTTCTATTTTTAATTTTGTGAAGAATCTCCACAGTAGCTATACCAACTTACATTCCCACCAACAATGCCCAAAGGGTTACCTTTTTTCCACATCCTTACCAGCATTTGCTATCTCTTGTCTTTTTGATAAGAGCTATTCTAACAGGGGGGAAGTGATATCTCATTGTGGTTTAGACTGGAATTTCCCTAGTGATGGGTGATGTCAAGCACTTTTCATGTATCTATTGGCCATCTGTATGTCTTCTTTGGAGAACTATCTATTCAAGCCTTCTGTCCATTTTTAAATCAGATTGTTTGGGCTTCCTTGCTGCTGAGTTATATCAGTGAGTCCTTTACACATTTTAGATATTGATCCCTTATCAGATATATGGTTTATAAATATTTCCTTCCATCCTGCAGGTTGTCTTTTTTCCATTTGGTTGACTGCTTCTTCTGCAGAAGCTTTTTAGTTTGATGTAGTCTTACTTTCTTGATTTTTGCATTTGTTGCCTTTGCTTTTGGTGTCAAATCCAAAAAACCACTGCCAAGATCAATGTCAAGAGTTCACCACCTATGTTTCCTTCTAGGAGCTGTATGATTTAAGGTTTTACATCCAAGTATTTAATCTATTTTGAGTTTTTTGTTTTTTGTTGTTGTTTGTTTGTTTGTTGCATGGCATAAGACAGTGGTTCATTTTCATTCTTTTGCATGAGGCTGCCCAGTTTTCCCAACACCATTTATTGTCCTTTTCTCAGTGTATATTCTTGGCTCCTTTGTCTTAAATTAAATGACCACATATGCATGGACTTACTTCTTTAAAAAAATTTTTTTATGTTTATTCATTTTTGAGAGAGAGAGAGAACACAAGCAGGGGAGGGGAAGAGAGAGAGGGAGACACAGAATCCAAAGCAGACTCCAGGCTCTGAACTGTCAGCACAGAGCCCAACACAGGGCTCAAACCCACGAACCATGAGATCATGACTTGAGCCGAGGTTGGATGCCTAACCAACTAAGCCACCCAGGCGCCCCTGCATGGACTTACTTCTGAGCTCTTTCATTCTGTTCTACTGATCTATATGCCTATTTTTATGCCATACTGTTTTAACACCATAGCATTTTGATTATTAGAGCTTTGCAATATACTTTTAAATTAGAGAACATAATGCATCCAGCTTTATTCTTTCTCAAGATTGCTTTCGGAATTCAAGGTCTTTTGTGCTCCCATAGAAATTTTAGGATTGTTTGTTCTGTCTCTGTGAAAAATGCCATTTAAATTTTGATAGTGATTGCCTTCAAAGCTATAGATGGCTTTGGGTAGTACCGACATTTTAACAACATTAACACTTTTGATCCATGAATATATCTTTCCATTTGCTTATGTCTTTTTCAATTTCTTCCATCAAGACATCAATTCTATGTCTTATAGTTTTTGGTATATAAATTTTTCACTTCCTTGTTTGATTTTATTCTTAAGTATTTCATTGTTTTCAATTCTATTGTGAATGAAATTGTTTGCTTTTTCAATAGTTCATCATTAGTATATAGAAATACAACCGATTTTTTAATGTTGTTTTTGTATCCTAAAACTTATTTTGTTGACTCGTTCTAATAGTTTTTTGGTGAAATCTTTTTTTTAAATTTTTTTCAAGATTAATTATTCATTTTTGAAAGAGACAGACAGACAGAGAGCCCCCATGCAAGAGTAGGGGAGAGGCAGAAGGAGAGACAGAGAGAGAGAATCCCAAGCAGGCTCCACACTGTCAATGCAGAGCCCGTCATAGGGCTTGAAACGATTAACTGTGAGATCATGACGTGAGCTGAAATCCACTGAGCCACCCAGGCACCCCTTAGTAAAATCTTGAGAAATTTCTACATGTGATATCATATAATCTGCAAAAAGAGACAATTTTACTTCTTCTTTCTTACTTGGATACCTTTTATTTCCTTTTCTTGTCTCATTATCCTGGCTAGGACTTTCAGTACTATGTTGAATAAGAATGATAAGAGTGGGCATACTTGTTTTTGTCCTCATCTTGGAAGCAAAGCTTTTAACCATTTAGAGTATAATGCCACTTGTGAATTTGTCATATATGACCTTTATTTATTACATTGGGGTATATACCTTCTATACCGAATTTGTTGACAGTTTTTATCATAAATATTGTTGAATTTTGTCAAATGCTTTTTCTGTATCTCTAGAGATGATCATAGACTTTTAGTCTATCAATTTGGTGTATCACATTTATTGATTTACATATGCTGACCATCCTTGCATCCCAGGTAGAATTCCCACTTGATCCTTTTAATGTACCATTTAATGTAAGGTGTATGATGCTTTTAATGTACCATTGAATTCAGTTTGTCAATATTTTCTGATGAATTTTTGCATCTACATTCTTCAGGGATTGGTCTATGGTTTTCTTACAGTATCCTTACCTGGCTTTGGTATCAGGGTAATGCTGGTCTTATAAAATGAGTTGGGGAGTTTTTCCTCATATTCAATGTTTTGCAAGAGTGTGGGAAGAAATAGTGTTAATTCTTCTTTAAAAGTTCGATGGAACCTGCAAAAACATCTGGTCCTGGTCTTTTCTTTCTCAGGAGGTTTTGGATTACTGATTAAATCTCCTTACTTAATATAGGTCTATTCAGGGTTTCTAGTTCATCATGACTGAGATTTGGTAAGTTGTATGTTTCTAGGAATTTATCCATTTCTCTCAGATTGTCTAATTTGTTGATGTATGGTTGTTCCTAGTAGCCTCTTCTGATCCTCTGTGTAACTGTGGTATCAGTTGTAATATCTCTTCTTTCATTTCAAATTTTGAGTCCTCTCTTTTTCAGGGCAAGTCTAGGTAAAGATTTGCCAATTTTGTTTATCTTTTTAAAAGACCATATCCTAGTTTCATTAATGTATTGTTTCTATTGTTTTTCTGGTCTTGATTTCATTTATTTCTACTATCTCCTTCTATCTCCTTCTTTGCTATCTCCTTCTTTTTGCTAATTGGGCTTCTTTTTTTTTTTAATTTTTTTTAACATTTATTTATTTTTGAGACAGAGAGACAGAGCATGAACGGGGGAGGGGCAGAGAGAGAGGGAGACACAGAATCGGAAGCAGGCTCCAGGCTCTGAGCCATCAGCCCAGAGCACGACGCGGGGCTCGAACTCACGGACCGCAAGATCGTGACCTGAGCTGAAGTTGGACGCCCAACCGACTGAGCCACCCAGGCGCCCCTTGCTAATTGGGCTTCTTTTGTTCTTGTTTTTCTAGTTCCATGAGTTATAAAGTTATGTTGTTTATTTGAGATAATGTTTTAATGTAAGCCCTATCACTATAAATTTTCTTCTTTGCACTGCTTTCACTGCATCTCATATATTCTGGTATGTTGTGTTTCCATTGTTGTTTGTTTCAAGATTTTTAAAATTTCTTCTTCTTCCAGTTGTATTGCAAAATAGTTGACATACATCACTGTATAAATTTAAGGTGTAGAGCACGATGGTTTGATTTACATATATTGTGAAATGATTACCTCAATAGGTTCAGCTAACATTCATCTCTTCATATAGATACAGTTTTAACAGAAAGAAAGAAAGAAAAAGGGGCACCTGGCTGGCTCCATTGGTACATTATGAGACTCTTGATCTTGGGGTTGTAAGTTCGAGCCCCACTTGGGGTGTAGAGATTACTTAAAAATAAAATCCTTCAAAAAAAGAGAAAAGAAAGGGAAAAAATTTTCCATATGATGAGAAATCGTAGGATTTTTTACTTTTACTTTTTTCTGAAGCTTATTTATGTATTTATTTGAGACAGACAGAATGAGCACAAGTCGGGGAGGGGCAGAGAGAGAGGGAGGGAGAGAGAGAAAAAAAAATCCCAAGCAGGTTCAATCAGTGCTCAGAGCCCGTCATGGGGCTTGAGCTCACAAAACCGTAAGATCACAAGCTGAGTTGCAATCAGGAGTCAGATGTGTAACTGACTGAGCCACACAGACACCCCAGGATTTTTTTAAAATTTCATCCTTGAACCATTGGTTGTTCGGGAGTGTCTTAATTTGCACTTATTTGTGAATTTTCTAGTTTTCCTCCTGTTACTGATTTTAATTTCATACCATTGTGGTCAGAAAAGATACTTGGTATGACTTCAGTCTTTCAAAATTGTCTAAGAGTTGTTTTGTGACACATCGGGTGATAGAATATACCGTGTATGTCTATTGGGTTCATTTGCTCTAATGTACAGTTTAAGTCCACTGTGTCCTTGTTGATTTTTCATCCAGGTGATCTATCCATTGTTGAAAGTGGGGGACTTCAGTACCCAAGTATTATTATTGTATTGTTGTCATTACTTCCTTCAGATCTGTTAGTATTTGCTCCATATATTTAGGTGCTCCAACGTTGTATGCATATAAATTTATAATTGTTATATTCTCCTGATGAATTTACCCTATTATCATTTTACAGTGACCTTCTTTGTCTCTTGCTACAGTTTGGATTTAAAGTCTATTTTCTCTGTTGTAAGTACCCCTGCTGTCTTTTGGTTTCCATTTGCATGGGATATCTTTGTTCATCCCTTCATTTTGAGCCTACATGTGTCCCTGAAGCTGAACTTAGCCTCTTGCAAGCGGCATGTAGTTGGGTCTTGTTTTTTTCTATGCATTCAGTCACTCTATTAATGTTTTTGTTTTAGTTGTTATTGTCTGAAATACAAGAGCTATTTAAATATCTGAGATACATTCCGTTTTCAAAATTAAAGTCCTCACCTTCAACATCTCAGGCTCACTCTCTCTCTCTGTTACACCCATGATACGTGTCCTGATCTTTTCTGCCATTGTCTTTTAAAAGTGCTAAAAGGTTAGGAGAATGAGACCTGTGAGCTCCACCAGATTTATGATATCACAGTATTCTGGGTTGCTATGAAGGTCTTTTAAAACATTCCTTCTTCCGTATTTATTCTTATAGTTTTCCTATGTGACATTTCCACTTACTTTGAAGTAAACTCCCATACATAAGGAAATTCAAAACAGAAAATTAAGCTGAAAAACAATAATTTTCAAAAGTATCAGCTATAATAATAATTCCTTGAATGTATACAGTCCTTTGAACAATTTTGAAGTCCTTACGCAGTCGTTAAGCATGATTTGGTGAGTCAGATACATAGACATAGGCAAGTGACTGCTAGCCACGAAGCCATGACTTACCTATGCTTATGCCCATATTGCTTTTTTCAAAACCTGCAGAAGGAAGAGTGTTTTCAAGGTAGCCAAACTGGGGAAGAGAAACCAAAACAACTTCCAAGTCATCAGCTGCAGTGTCAGGGTCAGTGGCGGACAAATGGTTAATGGTAATGGCTGCTGAGAAACCCTCATCTACAACGAACATGGTACCTGCATACAAATGATAACACAATTATGACTTAGTGTGAAATCCCCTGATCAGAATAGTGAAGACAAAAGGGAGTGATTGTAATTCCAATTCAGAGAAGCCTCCCATGTGCAAATACGCTTCCATGGGAGATGTTCATTTCCTCTGGCATAATTTCTCCTTACAGTGAAAATATTCAGGGGTAATGGGTGGAATTTAATTTGACTTATGGAATTATATTTTTTTCTTGTACAAGCAAGCCAGACAATAATGGAAAGACAGCAGAAATACTAAATGCTCTAGTACAGCCCTTTAGTCATTCTCAAGGAACTCTGATTTCCCTTGTGTCTCTATAGAAGTGACAAATGAAAATAAGAATTGCCAAACTGTTTTAATGATAAGCCACTAAATGTAGTTTATGTACTCTTCAAGATCAGTTGGTACCTCTGTTTGTCAGAGCGTTAATTGCCTGCAAGCTATTATGAATTACTCATAACGAACATTTTTTCCATGCCTTGGTGCTTAATTATTCTGCAGGGATAAAGCTTCCTTTCCAGAACATTGCTTGGGAGATAGTTTGCAAATTACAATAACATCCATACATATGCTCGTATTTTTTTTTCTAAGCAACAGAACATATACATAATGTCTATGAAGCGATGACTTTCTAAAAAGCAAATAAGGTTAAATGTATATAAATGGTCTCTCTGGTATTTTCATTCTGTTCTAATAGAAATTATTATGGAGAAAATAAATTACTCTCTCTCCAGCAGACAAATGATATTTCCCCATGTGAAATAAAGCCAGAATATTTGAGGATTCCAATGTTGTCCTGATCCCAACACACACACACACACACACACACACACACACACACACACACACACTCACAAACATACTTGCACTCTCTCTCCACACAGAATTACCTAAATTTTGAAACAAATAAATTCCTTTGCCCTGCAATCTTTTATACACTTTGAGTTTTCCACAAATTTGCATTGAGGCAATTATCATAGGCAATTCTGTAGTTTATTTTAACTATAATTCAAGTGCATATTATTTCACTAAACCACAGTTATGACACTAGGTGAGATGTTAGAACTTTAATAGAAGAAAACATTGTCACCTATTGCAATTGAAGGTGATTGGTTGTCCACTGGGTGTACTGTGATGTTGAGGTCATACACTGGAAAGGACTCATGAAGAGGAACAGATGGATGAGGCCCATTGTAGCAACAGCCATTCACATAAGGACCAGCTTCTCCATCCGAAACCACCAATGTAATGGTATCATAACAAGGCACCAGGCCAATCTCACCACCTGGAAAACACACCGTCGCTGAAACCTGACTTTGTAAAAAACACAGAATACTAAGATGAAATCGACGTACACCTCTTCCACAAGCATAGAATGGCAAAGAAAGGAGCTTATGTGGCTACAATATAAAACCCAATTTTATCACTAGGAAATTAAATAGTCGTGAAAATAATGAAAAAATGCTTGCCCATCTGTTGCCTCCAGTGAAATCTCTGCCAGCCCTCTATCACCATATGGAGGGGCAAAAAGGGGCTCACAAGGGTCTGACTGTTCACAAAGGAACATGGGAGAGGCACAAAGCTTGACTAGGGAAGGTTTCATTCTTCCTTCATAAGTGTTTAGTGATAGGACCCACCTCAGGGAGAGTAGAAGGCACCCCCGTCCTTCCAAGTGCATTGTCTTCCCATTTACATTAACTACCTTAAGTGAACACACATCACCCACACCACAGTTATGAGAAACAGAAGCTGGGAAGGCGAAATAGAAAGATAATCCACATTTTTGTCGTTTTAGTATTTTCCCCATTATATAATAGCCAAGGTGCTAACAAAATAGCAACGTGACATGGCATAGAAGTTGCATTTATTTTTGTTTCCCCTTTTACTCTTTAGGGCTTATGCTCATGGGATTTAAAATGGCCCCAACTTGGGGCACCTGGGTGTCTCAGTTGATTAAGCATCTGACTCTGGATTTTGGCTCAGGTCATGATCTCACGGTCATGGGCACTGGGCGTGGAGCCTGCTTAAGAGTCTCTCTTTCCCTCTCCTTCTGCCCCTCCCCTGCTCACGTGTGTGCATGCTCTCTCTCTCAATAAAAAATTAATAAAAATTGAAAGATAAACAAAATGGCCCCCAACGTAAGCAGTGGGAGAAAGAAGGAAAAAAAACGTCAGGATTTGATAGTTTATCAGTAAACCAGCCAATCTGCTCTTGGGTTACTAACAGCACAAAGATAGAAGCACTCACTATCCAGGGGACAGAAAAGTTCTGCAGAAGTGCTTTTGGTAATTCTCATGCTTCACACTGAAAGTGCCATGAGGGACGCAAACGTTGGAAGTTTTAATGAGACTGGCACACAAAAGATCAGGGACATCGTCTATTTTCACAAGACACATTGGTCAAATTTATACAATACTGTGCTTGGCATTATTCTACCTGCTTAAAATAATGAAAGGAAAATCAAGAGATGATATTATTGAGCCACCAAATGATTAAAGGATGAGACAGCTAGGCTTAGAAGAAAAAACAGAGTTGAAGTTGAGAGAATTAGAATTAAATAATCAGCTTTAACTTTAGAAGCAGCAAAAATTAAGATGCCTCTCATATATTCATATTTATCAAAACATAAATGGGCTTAAAGCTTATCTATTCTTCATTCACTTGATAAATATATATTTAGTGCCTCGTATCTGATAATTAGTAGGCTGGGTGCTCCAGCAGAGAATCAGGCAGACATTTGGAAAATGTCAGGCGGTTCAAAAGAATGTCAAATGTCAAAAGACCTTTTATGGGTCAGGCACTGACACAATCTAATGGTAGAGAAAGAAATGTAGTGGATCATTGATGTGTATATGTATTAAGAGGAGCCATATGAAATCGCCACTATTAAGTCCAATTAAATGGAAAATTCACGTATCTCAGCCTGAATACGTATGGGGGGCTGAGAGAGAAGAAGATGAAAGTATTGGCTGACAGTAGCATGGGGGCAAGGCACACATGGCAAGGAAAGTCAGGGAAGTTTTTCCAGATGGCTCTGCTGGCTTTATACCACGCATTAAATGATAATTACTTTACCAGGCAGATGAGGCAAAGAATTGAGATGGGGGAATGAGAACCTGCAGGAAGAGAAGTGGAAAAATCGTTCTAGGAAGAGTAGAGAGCTTAAAAAAAAAAAAAAAAAAAAAAAAAAAAAAAAGGAAACATGGTACCTTCCATAACTGTAATTTTGATATAGTGGAAGCTTAGGTACATTTACAGAAAAGCTGAAAAAGCAGGCTGAGCATCTAGTCACAAAAAAGGCTACAACATGGATGGCCAAGTCTCTACTTTGAATGGAGTACAGTCTAAGGACAGGATTTATACTTTGAACTGTTAACTGTGGCGTTATTCAAAAAAACATTTTAAGTCTGTTTATTCATTTTGAGAAAGAGAGAAATATGCACAAGGGAGGGAGGGGCAGAGAGAAGGAGAGACAGAATCCCAAGAAGGCTCTCTACCACCAGCGCAGGACCCCATGCGGGGCTTGAACTCACAAACCATGACCTGAGCAGAGATCAAGAGCCGGATGCTTAACTGACTGCACCACCCAGGCAGCCCTAAAAAAAATTTTTTAAAGACTTCATGTTTAATGTTGGGAGAATAGTAAATTAATCATGTAATTTTACATCATAAGATATTATTCAATTACTAAAATTTACATTTACAATAACTTTATAACATTTAATAAATATTTTAATAAACATGTTAGCTGATAATCTCAATGAAAAATGTAATCAATAAAACTACAAACACGATTGCAACTATGTTAAAAATTATGATTAGAAAAAAGAAAACAAAGTACTGAAATGTTAACAGTGATCATCTCTGAGAGGTAAATAGGAGATTTTTCAAAACCTCATTATGCTTTTCCATACTTTCCAAGTTTTTTGAAATGAGCATGTAGTATTATTTTTATACTCATGGAGAGCAAATAATATTGGTGACAAGATTATCTTCAGGTGGCCTTTATAATCAACATATAGAGGCAAGCACAGAACACAGAAATTTCAGGTCCTGTAGTCTTTCCCACGCAGTGCTAAATTACTACCAATTGAATAATTGGGTGAACATTACAAAGAAACATCATTCAAATAATCAACCATCTTTTGAATTGGCAGTATTTCTCCTAATTTAGTAACATAACCCCAAAACAACAACAAAAAACGTCTATCTTTAGTAATTTGCCTAGTGTCCTAGTAGGTCTCATGAAAAAAAAATTAGTCCACAGTCCCTTACGTGGCCATCATACCAGAAGAGATTTATAAATACGTAAACTGTTGTTCAGCACTTAGAGCAAGGCACTGGCAGAAAAGACAGATTCATAGCACCCCTAATTTATGTATGCATGAGCCTGCCATAAATGTTAAAATTATGTGAAACTCGATAGACGTTGGGCTTCGGCCCCTTTTCTGCCCATCTATATGAGATCTATTGGGGAAATCAAAATGAAGCACCTACCTGTGGACTCTTGAGAGACATCGAACATGTGGACTATGTTCCCCAGGACAAGGATACGACCAGTGAAACCCTTCCCAAGACTAAACACACTTAAGAAGATAAGGGGAGGAGTGCCCAGGTAGCTCAGTCTGTTAAGCACCTGACTCTGGTTCAGGTCATGATCTCATGGTTTGTGGGTTTGAGCCCTATGTCGGGCTCTGTGCTGACAGCTCAGAGCCTGGAGCTTGCTTTGGATTCTGTGTCTCCCTCTCTCTCTGCCTTTCCCCTGTTTATACTCTGTCTCTCTCTCTCTCTCTCTCTCTCTCTCTCTCTCTCTCTCTCTCGCTTTCTCAAAGATAAATGAATATTAAAAAAAGAAGAAGATAAGGAGATACCATTTTTTAAAAAGATGTCTGGGGGCTCCTGGATGGCTAAGCGTCTGACTTTGGCTCATGTCATGATCTCACGGTTCAGGAGTTCGGGCCCCTCATCAGACCCTGTGCTGGCAACTCAGAGCCTGGAGCCTGCTTCGGATTCTGTCTCCCTCTCTCTCTGCCTCTGCCCTGCTCACGCTTTGTCTCTCTCTCTCTCTCTCTCCCCAGAATAAATAAAATATTAAAAAAAATTTTTAAATATTATTTCACAATGTTCCCCCACTTCCAAATTAATCCTTACCTATCTCAATCCCCCCACCCCAAGTTCCCACTCCCACGCGTTGCTTGTATTCCCCATGTTCTTTCAAATAAGAAAATGATCTGAATCCTGATACACCTTATTCCCTCTACCACTCACCTGGCCTTATCTACCCATCATGCACCCCATGGAATCCACAGATGAGAGTGGCATATGGATGAGTACACATGAAATTGTAGCAGAGTGCGATAAAAGGCAACCAGAGGAAATATGCAGTATTATTACTGAGGAGGTGCCCTCAACCCAGAGATCAGAAGACATGCTAGGGGCGACGACTAATGAGGTACCGATATGTGACGCTATCATCTTTGCACGTGAGTGGGTCTGTCTATCTATTTAAATTAAAAGTCCTTCACAGCTGAGTCTGGGTTATACTCCTTTGAAGCCCAAAATGCCTAGCACCATGCCTTGCAGATAACAGACACTGAATTCACAGTTTCTCCATTTGAACATTGTACATGAGGAACAAATGCTACCTGGGTAACCATATAATGTGATGCCGGAAATGAAAGCACGAGGCTAATAAACAAGCGTTTACTGCATCACTAATTTGGGTCCATCACTCTGTAGTGCTGTGGGTGTCACACAAAGCGTAAGATATCACCTTGGCTTTTCAGGAACTCAAAAGGCAGACAAGTTACTTCTTAGGAGCTAGCTGGTGATCGAGTAAACTTTTAAAATTAATAATATAATTTTCTTAGGGAGCTTCCTTCAGGCATTTCTGTTATGATTTATGGGTCCCAAAGATGTGATGGTCAAAGAAAATCTTCTACAGATGGACCAAAGAGGGAATGCGGACAACCCCAGGGTGAATTGAAGGTCTGTTGGAAGCATCAAGAACAAAGCAGCAATAATACAGGCTCCTCCTCCACTCTTTGAAATTGATCGTATAACTGAGATCAGAAATCCTTCTAAATATGGTGACTCTACTTTAAAAAAAAATGGGATACGAGCTGCTCTTACTGCTGCTTCTTTTTAAATTTCTTTTTTAACGTTTATTCATTTTTGAGAGACAGAGAGAGACAGCATGAGCAGGGAAGGGAGACCCAGGATCCGAAGCGGGGTCCAGGCTCCGAGCTGTCAGCATAGAGCCCAACACGGGGCTTGAACTCACAAACTGTGAGATCACGACCTGAGCCGAAGTCGGACGCTCAACCGACTGAGCCACCCAGGCGCACCTGCTTCTGCTGCTGCTTCTTTTTTAATGAGAGCAAGCACGGAGACTATAAGGCTATCAGAGCCCCTGGCAAGGAGTGGCATTAAGACTCCGTTCAGTTGTTGCATCCCCCCAGTCACACTGGTCACCGTGCGGTCACTCACCCGTGTGTTTGTACGTCACAGCCCCCGAGATGACATCTCCCTGAGAGAACTGATCCACTGCGACTCCAGCTTTCCTCACCAGCCCGTGCTGAGGTGCTCGGGCGATCACAAACATCAGTCTCGAGTCATCGCCGTCCACATCAGTAGCAGAAATGTGTTCAGAGGTGATGACCACCTCTTCGCCCTCTGAGCAATGCATCATGGGGATGAGATCAGCCTTGAGGAGTGGTGGCTCATCATTTACAGGGAATACCTAGGGGGAAACAACGCACATTTTCAAGAAAAAGGCGGCAATGACAAATTGCCCAGCCGGCAAACCATAGCTCATAGTCGGAATGACAGGCATTTTCGATCTTTCAGACACACGAAACAATAGCCATGGAATTTGGCCAAGCAGCCTGTGTCTTTCCCCCATATGAACCATCTTGCAAGAAATGGCCAACATGGGAGACATTTTAGGTAGGAATGGAAGAGTACAGTTATGGTTTGGGACTCAAAGCTCTCATTTGTCTCCAGACAGACAAAATATAAATGTAATACACAGCAGTCTTCACTAAAGTCCCTATCCTCTTTTGTTAAATTCACACATATTCTAGAGGAAATTTGGTCCTTGTGGTCTGATGCATTTACACTTACCACATCAAAGTTATTTATATTTCAAATTATGTGGCGATTACAAAGCTTTCCTCCACCAACAACTCCCTGCCACCCAGGAAGTTTCCCTAAACTTACAATAAGCAGCAGCTGCATTTCGAACATTTTGAGTTAACTCTGAAACTCCATAACCATTAAATCAATCCCAGGATTCAACTAGACAAAACGTTTTTCTCTCATCATCGTGAACAACAACCTCCAAGTCGAAAGGAAAGAAGAACAATGTGGGATCACTCTGGCTCTCTGAATCTAACAGGATGATGCAGACACTCGAAAAGGCAAGCCTTTTATTTTTTTATTTATTTTTTTTTTTTAATTTTTTTTTTCAACATTTATTTATTTTTGGGATGGCAGGAGCATGAACGTGGGGAGGCAGAGAGAGGACAGAATTGAAACAGGCTCCAGGCTCTGAGCCATCAGCCCAGAAGCCTGACAAGGGCTCAACTCACGGAGCGCGAGATCGTGATCTGCCGGGTCGGACGCTTAACCGATCATGCCACCCAGGCTTTCAAGGCAAGCCTTTAAATCGTAGGAACGGCGACACCCCTGCCTCAGTTCAGTCATAACTTTTAGGGCAAAAGCAGTGCACATTTATCAAGTCCAGCTCTAACATACTGTCAGCCACATTTCCTCCTCCCCTTCTTTTCCACCAGGGTAGATCTTTTAAACGTGGCTTTCATCACTCTGGTTTCTTCGATTGTAAATCTCCTTTAAAATGTATTGGGGCTGGTTTGGTCGGTTGTCGTCCGACTCTGCTCAGGTCCATGTCCTGTGAGTCTGAGCTCCATGGCTGGAATTTGTGTTGACAGCTCAGAGCTCCTGTTTCTAGATTCCCAGTCTCCTCTCTCTGCCCCCTCCCTCTGTTCCATGCTCTGTCTCTTCTCTGTCTCAAAATAACAACGTTAAAAAAAATTTTTTAAATAAAAAAAATAAATGTATTTAGGCCCCAGGTACCCAGTCCATTGTTACCAAATTTTGGTTTTGGCTATTTTAGATCATGATCTCATGGTTTTAGGGTTCAGCCCCATCGGGTTTCTTGGCGCTTTGACAGTGTATTCTCGGATTCTTCTCTTCCTCTCTCTTCTCACCTGCTCAGGCTTCTTCTCTCAAAATAAATAAATAATAAATAAATAAATAAATAAATAAATAAATAAATAAATAAATAAATGTGGTTTCCATCAGGTCTAGGGACCTTCAGGCTCTAGCACTGCTCCTAGGATGTGCCTGCTTTCATGCACGAGGGTGCCTTTTGCTGCCATCGCCTGGTCTTTGCATCATCTCTGCATGCCTCTCTCACCAAGGATCAGTAGCTCTGCCCCAGTGTTTGCTTACAATTCTGTCCCTCCAGGGTGGCATGTGGATTCTTCAGGGAAAACTTCTTGAACAACTCAGATTCACTGAGAGACTTCCACCATTTACTCTCTTTCAGCATCCCATTTATTTGTAGAATACATCCACCACTAATTATTTCTGTGATAATCAAGTATCAAGGCTCATCCCCTGCCTATAAACTCTAACAGTCCAGAGGCATTCTTTGCCATGTTCATCATCATACCCCAAGCATCTAGCATAGGAACTGGCATGTAGAAGGTACTTGGGTTTTTTTTAATGTTTATTTATTTTTGAGAGAGAGAGTTGCATTTAGAGTGTGGAGAGGGTGAGAGAGAGGGAGACACAGAATCCAAAGCAGGCTCCAGGCTCTGAGCTGTCAGCCCAGAGCCGGATGCGGGGCTCAAACTCATGAGCCGTGAGATCATGCCCTGGGCCGAAGCTTATCAGGAAACAATATCTTTGTTCAAGTTCTCTGAGTGGATTCATTAAAGACCTTTCTTATTATTGTTCTTCACTCAATCTGATGAATGTCACCAATATATCCATGATGACCACCTGACAAAATACAAAATAGCCCGGCTTTCAAATGGATAATAAAGCCCAAAGGCAACAGAATTTAAGACATTCTTCCTGGACAGAAAATAATCACCCATAATTGTCCAAAAATGACCTGTACTTCTGATTGGCTTCCACAAGCCATGGGCTTTTGTCCAAAACGTAGCAATAAAACAGACTATTTACACAGTCACATGAATGATTTGGGGCAAGTCACGGAAACTTCTTGAACCTAAGTTTCCTTGCTTATAAAATGGAGATAATTCCTTCTCTGTCTACTTCTTTAAAATGCTGGATAGATGTAATCATTCTTAATTACTAACTGTAAAAATAGCTGACAAACACATTGTTACCACTAATAATAATTTCATATCACAAAGATCTGACAAAATTCAAACAGAAATAGAATTTGGTAGATAAAAGTAATGAAGAACATAATTCTTTCTCTAGACCTTCCTTTGTCACTAACTATAAATTCCTATAAATCCTATGGGTTTTGCTGTGGACTTAAGTGGTCAATCAACAGAGAAATTCAGGGGTTCTCATTAACCTTTATACACAGATTTTTCATAATTTGTCAAAAGGGGGAAAATAATTATTTCAAACAGATCTGAGAAAGGAGTACATAGCACAGGAATTCACAAAGAGGCACCACACACATGAAGACATGATTTCTTCCATTCGAGAAGGAAAAGGCCAGTGACACTAGCCTAACCTGGATAGGTGCTATATAAATATTTCTGAGTGTTAAAGCTCAAAAATGTTAGAATCAATTTATACACAGAATGAATTGGTTTTTAAATTAAGTATCTGGATTTGAGGTCAGGACAGTTCAATCTTTAAATGGATTGGAAAGAGAAAGCAGTATGCCCATCTCACCAATATAACTTTGCTGTCTCTTGCCTATTACCTTCAGACATTGGCTGGTATCCCTTTCCTTTGGAGTCCACATGTTTCAAGTTCTATCAGGAACTCTTCAGAGGCTTCCAAACTGGATGTTTTATTCCCATATGAACCAGGGAGGAAACTTTCTACCTACCTCAACACGTAGAACAACGTCTGCTGAATTCGTGCCATCTGTGACCTCCAAGAATATATTATCCTGTAGTATCTCAGATCCATCATGTCGATATCTGTGGGGATGATATTTGCCACTAGCCCCTCAAGGCCACCGTGACAGTAGGAGATGCCTGACACAAGAGCTCGCCCATGGCTTTTGCCACATAGTCAATAAATAACAAAAGACATAGCATAATCATGAAGTCACATACTCAACTACTCAAGGGTCCCTGAATGCAAAAGTTGCATATATGTGGTATATGCATTCATCATTTGCCCCCAAATCAAAACGCAGCCCTCCAAGTTGCCACCATGGCAATGGGAACCATCTGGTGTAGTTCTGCTTACTTACCTGAAACAAGGCTGGAGCCATGGGCATTACTGAGACAGCAGTAGACAGGTAAAAGCAGGACACTGTGTGGATTCTGATGATCCCTTTCCTCCCCTATTCTTTCTGCCTGTGCTTTTGATCTGTTCAGCTCTTCTCTAAAACTCTGATCTATGAATTACTTATTGCCTGTCTCCTGCCATTTACCCTTTTCTACTTAATAGCTCTCTTCCATTTAACCTATAAGGATTTTCGAATCTCTCCAGACCTAAAAATATTTTTAGGGGTCTAGACGTGGCCCTACTTTTCTTTAATTCTCAGTCAAGTTTTGTAACAGAATCGTCTAATTCAAGACTTTCCATTTACTCTGCAGCCATTGTAGTGACACTTACCACAAGTATCTAGCACTTCCTTATTACTTACCACAAATTCTAAACAGCTATCGAATTGAGCCAAATTTTTAGCTTTCCAATGATTTGTTCAAGATAGGAAACAAGTCTTAGGAAATGAAATTAAAAGTTGCATAAAAATAGTAAATCGAACATATATAACATTTACACATGAAAAAAAAATCCCAGGACTAAAAGACATTTAACTCAGGACTAGTCTCACCCATACACTGGCTAGGGACTCAGGTTGGGGATTCTATTCTAATGGTGAAGAAGGTCCACCTCCTGCCCTCAGTATCCCTTCCACACCCTGTCTCCTACGCTCCCTGATAATTTCAACAAAAATAGATATGTGAAAATGTACTAATCCTATCTTATCATGCTGAAACCCAGGGCCAGGTAGATCTAGGAGCACACATCCAAAGGCATGGCTGTGGAGTCAAACAAAACTTCTTTCAAAATCAGACTCCTCCATATACTAGCTGAGTGACCTCAACCTCTTTCTGCCTTAGTTTCTTCAACTATAATATGAGAATACAGCCATCTACCTTATCAGGCTTTATTGCTGTGAAGATTAAATAGAAAAAAAACATAATTGCCAAGTCTATAGAAGAGCCCTTGAATTACATGTGCTGCAAATATTAGTACTTTTTTTCCTATCTATCACGCATTCCCTAGTAAGAATTACCTAAACAGAGGTCTTGTTCTAACATTTAGCTAAGAACTGAGATGTCTAAAAAAGGGAAATTTCAATGAGGATAAGCGTGAGTAGTGGAAAGAGGTCACGATATTGGAGTCTGTGAATAAACAATTTAACTAAACTAAACTTTGGATAAAAGTTGATCTTCCTTTGCACAAATCCTAGTTCCTAGCAACCTCCAAGTGTGAAATTATGCATTTGATACCTAATACCCTCTAAAAGGTCAAAATTCCCATTTACAACTTGAACTTATAAGTGATAAATCAACTCGTATGTCTGTCTACCTGACCCTTGCTTTTCAGTGTCTTGCATTATTTTACAAAGAAGGCATTTTTACCAAACTTTGTAGGAAAGTTTCTTACAAAACTACATTAGGTAGAAAAAATGAAAGACCTCAAGGGGCAAGGAACTGCTGTAGGTCTGTAAGGAATGAACCACTCTAATTTATCCAAAGGACACAAAAATGCTGCTTCAAAGGGGCACATGCACCCCAATGTTTACAGCAGCGCTATCGACAATAGCCAAAGTATGGAAAGAGCCCAAATATCCACTGACTGATGAATGGATAAAGACGTGTACAATGGAATATTACTTGGCAATCAAAAAGAATGAAATCTTGCCAATTGCAACTACGTGGATGGAACTAGACTGTATCATGCTAAGTGAAATAAGTCAGTCAGAGAAAGACAAATATCACACGATTTCACTAACGTGGAATTTAAGAAACAAAACAGACAAACATAGGGGAAGGGAAGCAAAAATCAGATAAGAACAGACAGAGAGACAAACCGTAAGAGACTCTTAAATACAGAGAACAAACTGAGGGTTGTTGGCCGGGTGTTGGGTGGGGGGATGGGCTACATGGGTGATAAACATTAAGGAGGGCACCTGTTGGGATGAACACTGGGTGTTATATGTAAGTGATGAATCACTAAATTCTACTCCTGAAACCATTATTACATTGTATGTTAACTAACTTGCATTTAAATAAAAAATAAATAAATTCAAAACAAGAAAGAAAGAAAGAAAGAAAGAAAGAAAGAAAGACACGAGCTGCTCTATCCCTAACTGTCAGAGACCCAAGGACCACTCCATGCCCTGCCTCCCTGGTGTATCCCACATATTTGACTGCAATGAAATAAAAATTTACACTGAAGATACTGATCAACAGAATTCTATCCCAGAGTTTCCAGTCTTATGAAACTGACACTCCTTAAAGCCAAGTTCAACTATGTAGTTTGGCCATATAGATTATTTCAGTCTATACTCATCCAGTTTGGCTATCACCTCTTGTGATATGTACAGTTGCAGCAAATTTAATATTCATGGTAACTAATTTCTGTGTCTCAAATATCCATAAAGTCATTCCCACCGGTACAGCAAGCCAGATGGAAAGAAAATGTCTGGAGGGAAATTAAAATTTGTCATTTCTCGTTTTCAACTGACCCTTGAAAGTATTCACTGGCATGCTGGTACCCCACCCCCCACAAAAAATTAGAAAACTTCTTCCTCTTCCTCTGCCTCACAACTGATCCAGATGAAGGCCGAAGCATGTAAAGACAAAAAAATCCAGGAAATGTTCTAACCTAACTTTTAAGGCATGGAGTTCTCCCCAAGAAAATGTGCCTCCTGGGTTTAGAGGAAATCCATCCAACTCCACCCTTCCATGCTGAGGCAGTCTCTGTAGGGAGAGGTAGATGTTGTCCAGTTGGGTATCCACATCAGAAACCAGAATGTTCTCTGTGCTGATGACGCAGTGACCTCCCTCAGCCACTCTCAGGGGGTTGGTAAATACCTAAAACGAAGGAAGAAAACATTCGAAGCCTTGTTCCATGAGATAGCCCTGAAGACAGAGCTCATTAAATAAATAGAAAACTTCCAGTACCACCTTCACAGGTCGATTAATTTTTTCAAGAATGTGGTAGGGCCGGGGGCAGGGGCAGGGGTGCCTGGGTGGCTCAGTCCATTGAGAATCCAACTTCAGCTCAGGTCATGATCTCGCGATCTCTGGGTTCCAGCCCCTGTCAGGCTCTGTGCTGACAGCTGGAGCTTGCTTAGGATTCTGTGTCCCCCCCCCCCC